CTCCCTTACCTGCTTAGTCTTTGGTCACAAAGAACAAGTTGCTGGAGACCCTGGCTACCACACACAACTGTGCTCCTGTAGCTTTGTATGTTCTGTTCCCTCTGCAGAGACTGCCCTTCCCACATGTCCACACATGCAGTTCTTTCTCCCTCTCTCAGCCTTAAGGACCCATTTCATGGCACCTCCACTGTGATGCCTTCTTGATGCTCTCAGGTGATTTGGCGCCTCCTTGTCCTTCTGGAACATTTTCAAACCCCTTTTAGAAAGCCCTATTACTCTTTGTGTCCTTACCTGGAGTGTGGAGGGGATTTTTGTGGCACTTCAGGAGATAGTGGTTAACTGGTAGCTTCTGAAGCTATGCAGCTTGAGTTCTCATTTGTCCTTATTTCTTACTTTGAGATCTTGGATAAATTACTTAACCTCCTAAACCTCAACTTCTATAAAACAAGGATCACAGAATTACCTACTTTATAGATGTGTTATGAATAGTAAATGTGTTGAGTATAAAAGCACTTAACATAGTGCTTAACCCATTATAACTGCTCAATCAATGTTGGTTATTTTCACTTATCTTTGAATTCTCAGAGCTAAGCACAACACCTGACACATAGCAGGCACTCAGCAATGTGTACTGAATGAATTTTTAGCAATATTATTGGGTTTCCCCTAATGGCACTTAGCTTTATAGTTGACCCTTGAACCATGGGGATAGAGGGTTACAGGCACCAACCCCCACACATTGAAAATGGCTGTATAATTTTTGACTCTGCAAAAACTTAACTGCTAAGAACCTGCTGTTGCCCAGAAGCCTTACTGAAAACATAGCTAACTAACACATATTTTGCATATGATATACTGTATTCTTTTTTATTGTGGTAACATTACTATTATGTTTTAGGAGTACAGGTTGCCACTTCTTCAAATGCCCACCACCAAAAGTATCAATAAATCTCCACCACAGTCCATTATATTCTTATAATAAAAGTAAGCTAGAAAGAAAAAAATAATAAAAAAATAAGAGAAGGTATTTACAGAACAGTACTGTATCTATACAATAAGCATACATCATCTATTTACTAAAAAAATATATTTACCGAAATAGATCCACACAATTTAAACCCATTTTGTTCAAGGGTGAACTGTATTTCCAATGCATTATAATTATTTTGAGGTACCATACCCTGTTTTGCAGTTATCTGAGATACTCTAATCTCCCTTACTTGACTATACATTCCTTGCAGCTGGAGATTGTTTTATTGAGTGTTGTATCCACCACATAGAGCTTTGAACTTAGCAGGTGCTGTGTAACTGTGTTGATCTGGATTACTTTGCTTTTGATAAAGGAGCCTTTCCATGTCAAGTATCTGTTTTGTGATCTTAGCTGTTGATGCACTTGTGAGAAGTAAATAACATACTTTGAAATCAGTAGGGTAATCCAGTATACTTGGGAGTCCAGTTTATTGGATAAATACTAGAATTAGATTCTTTTGATTGGAGAACATTAAAGGTATTTAACTTCTAATATAACATAAAAAGGTATCTTTCTTCTGACTCTTTTGGGTAGAGTCCAGGCTTTTAAAATACCTACTATCTCAGAATCAAGGCATGGAGTGTTTTTGCCTTATAATCTCTGAATATATGTGTATATATGAAGCTATCCACAGCCTCCATAGCATGGGTCGTTCCCTGGCCTGCCAGTGAGCTACCCACATGGCACAGCAGACCTCTCTTATCTCACGCACTCCTCCCCTCAGCAGTGTGTTTCAGTAGATCCGCCTGTTCTCCCCACTCTGACTCTGGTGAATCCTCTCCCCACACCTCTGGCCTATACCCCAGTTCTTGTATGCATAAATAAATCTTTCAAAAAAGGTATTTGATACATTTCATACGTGTATCATGCTAAACATTTTCCTTTGTATTGTGGGTTTTTCCTTTCTTATCTTTAGCATTGAATATTTGAATCTTCAGTTTTCTCTATTCAGTTTGTGAAACTCCATGATTAAAATGTGATTTCTGTTGGATAGTGTGACCCCCCTCTTCTAGTCCTAATTATTTTTCTGATTCCACTGATTTTAAGCAGTGGCTCTGAACCTCTTCTCTTAGTAATATCAGGTATTTAATTGCCTTGCTCAATAGATTTCATAAAGATGTGAAGACTATTTTAGATACAGTTTTGACAGTATTTTTAAGCTTCCAGCTTTGCATCCTACACTGATTTATATATTATTCAGTATTTTTATAGACTCATTTTCTCTCCAAAACTGTTACATATACATAATTTTCTTAATCCTCTAAATAGTGCCACACTGTCCTGTGGTTAGCAGGACAACATTAGAAAATGTTGATTTTCTAATTTTTGCTGAAAGGTTAACCAGCAAACAAATAGCTTATGTTCTTTGCACTAGCTATACAGTTAACTGGTGATATAGCTACAAGAATCATATTCTAGTAGCTCGCATTCTAGTCACATCTTTTTTCCTTCTTTCAGGCATTATAAAATCAGGTCTTAAGTATGCAAGTAAAAATATGATGTTTATGCTGTCCATATAGGTGCACTGTATCTTAAACCAGATTTAGTAATGAAAATTTGAGCAGAAAATACCAGTGTAAGTTTATGATATTTTCATAATACAAAAATTCATTGGAAGTTGTTTTTGTCTTTTATTTATCCAACTTTATTAAGTTGGTATCAGTTTACCTTTTATGTTTATAAGCTAATGAGTTTTGTGTAACCAAATTTTCTTAAAATAAGCTATTTAAACACAGAATCCGTAAGAACTTATGGATAAACTTATCAAAAGGAAAAAATGGTAATTCGAGGTGAGACTGTAACTTGAGCATTGATATTTAGATCAACCTCTTCACCTTCCTAATTTCAACTAAAATGAATGCAAAATTTTAAAAATATGGACAAACCACGTTAGTGTTGGAGGCTGAGGACAGGGTGATTTCCATCTTCATGCTGCAAATTTTGAAGAATTTCCACTAGATACAGTGCAGTTACCAACTGTTTCACTTCCTAAGGAAGTTGGGATCTAGGACAACTTATAGGGGTTTCCACTTGGTTTGCTTTCACAGGCATGGAGAGGTTAAGAGTGTCACTAGGAGGTGCAGCAGTAGTCACACTGAGGGAAAAGCAGGCCTTGCATTAGAGCATTTCTCTGATGGAAAGGACTGGCCACACATGCTGTTTCTGGAGTGAAGGTCAAATCAATTTATAAAATGTTTACATGGAAAAATTTGAAGTTTTTCCTGTGGGCGACCATCCATGACTCCAACTCCCTCCCTACTTCTTAACATGCTGTTTATCAATCTGTAGCAATCAGCCTTCCACTCAGAGGAGGAATCAGAACATTAGAATGTTGGTGAAGGGAAGGAAGGAGAACTACCCACCCTACTTTGGGGAAAATACCAGCCTGGATAGACTGCTCTTTGTTCAGGGATGAACAAAAAAACCCACAAGAGGTTTCGGGAAAAGTCAACATAATATTTAAGCAGAGGAAGAAAATACTTATTTCAAAAGTATGTTTTCTATAGGAAAATGTATTTTTTGGTAACAATTTACTTTGTGTTTTCTGGTGAATGCAAGGAAACATACAAAACAAAGTAAGCAGTTAAAGTAAATTCTGTAAGGTGAAAGCTGGAAGGTCAGAATAGAGAGATTAAAAATATTACAGAATGAGACTTGGCAAAAAGGCAAAGGGAGTTTCTGAAGGAATAAATGTGAGGAAACTAAAAAAAATACATTATTTGTATATGTAGTAAAGAAAGAAATTGAAATTGGAGAAATTGGAATGAGTGATGGAAAAGGCAAACTTGAAACATTCTCCCAAAATTCAGAGGAAAGGATCAGATATAAGAGTAAAGAGACAATAAAAGATTGGACAAACGTATGGAGATCTAACATATGGACAGTTGTTCTTGAAGATTAGAAATTAGATTAATGGCAACCGAATCAACTAAGCACACCATAAAATAATAAAAACAACCCAATGTTCTTTACTATACAAAGTCATTGATCTGCAGACTGAATGCTTACTCTGTATGACAGAAAAGAAGACCAATAATTAGACATATCCTGGCATTTTTTTATTTAATTTCAAGGATATAGCAAAGAACTTAACAAGCATCCTTACAGAAAAAGTAGTTTAACCCCCAAAGAAAGAGAAGTTGACATCAGAGTTTCTTTGCATTCTTAAATGCCAGAAAACAATGAAACAATGTCTTGTAACTTTTAGGGGAAATGTCATGGGTAAATCATGAAATGAAAGGATTAGTGGTAAGCAAGGGGAACAAAATTATAAGTAATTATAAAATATAAATGAAGTTCAAACAGAATGTAAACGCTTTTAATGTTTATTAGAAGATGAATAACAAACAACAAGTGCCAAATGCAAGACAGAAATATAGAGAGAATGTATTTTCTCCATTTAGATGGAGTTAATTAGAAATTAATTTTTGGTTAACATTTGTGCGGACAGTACTTTAAAAATTAAACAGAAAAATTAATAGAGTTAAACTCTCTTGATCAAGAGAAAAAAACCTGTCTTTTTTATTGTCTTTCTCTAAGACCTGCAAATGTTCTTTAACTCTGTCTAATAAACGTATTTTTTAAACTATGTTTTAAAAAGACAACTTTAAGTAAAAAGAAACCAGAATAGGATCACTGTATATCTATTTGTGGTGGGATTTGGTGGTACAAGAACTTTCAAGTATACAGGTATAAAAACAAACTTTTTTAAAAGTAGATATGACAATTAGGAAAGCAAATTTTTAACAGTATATGTAATTTGACATAACTGCATAATCCCAATTATGTTGGGACAGTAACAAAACAGTAGATTCTAGGTAGAAATTCTAGTAAAAATACCATGCACCACTTTGTACTTCTCTGTATTATCATATTTTTGTAATGTATACATATTAATTTTTATAGTGAGAAAGCCACATTCATTAAAATAAAATATAAAATTAAATTAAAAATCCTATAGATACAGCAATTGTAATTATAGCAAATTTATGTTATAGAATATTTTGTTCTTTCCCTCCTCAATTAAAAGCAAACTAAGCTTTTAATTTAATACATTACAAAAAGCACAATAAAACATATCTGAGAACTGAAGGAAACATTAATAAACTTTAAAAAGCAGCATTTAAAACATCAGTGAGCAATAGATTTGAACAATAAACCTAAGAGTTGCTTCTTTAAAAGAAACAATGGAATTAAACTTTCAGTTTACTCAGGAATGAAAACAAAAATACACAAAATATGTTTAAATCACAAAGTCAAAGGAAGAATATGCTCAGCTTATGCTAATTATGGGGGAAATGTTGATTAGTAAATTGACTCAAGGAGTATAATGCTAGAATTAACCAATACCTATGGAAATATTAGAGAAAACTGCCCAAGAGCTACTCAGTTGTTTATATGATTGTCTCTAAGTGGTAGGATCATGGACTCTTTTTTTTTCCCCCCACTTTGCACTCTTTAGTAGTCTCAAAAAAACTAACAATAAACAGGAACTCAATTTAAAGTGAGATGTGGAAAAAGTCCAACTGAAAAAACAGATTCCTCCCATCTCCCAAGACAAAGTAGGCAGTTTATTCCTTTTGAGCTTTAAAGGTAGAAATAGCTGCCTTTCTAAAATCTAAGTGAAGCGAAATAGTGATGTGCAGTAAAAAGGACTGCCAAGGTTCAGGGAACCTGTTAATGGCCCTGTGACTTTGGGCTGACTAATGGCCCAGGGGTCACTAATGGCACATTGAATTTCTAGATTGCGGCTGTCTTCGTGGCTCTCTGATGCCTCCGCAGTGGCAGAGTCGACACTCCAAGTGCTATATAAACATATAAAGGCTAAGTAATCATTCTTGAGGTTCAATGGAGTACTGAATCACTTTAGTGAAACGATTTAAAAAGTACCCCAACTTTTGCACATTTAGATCATGACATTTAAAATTTTTTTTTACTAATAACATGGATAGAAGAACTTTTTTATACTTTGTTCATGAAATAAGTAAGTAAATGAAGATTGTGGTTTTTGATTGAGGCTACTCTGAATATACTACTCAGAAAAGATTTTTCTCATTCCCATTCCAGAAGAAAGCTGAATTATGGCAAGGATCTCTCCTGCATGTTAGAAAACACTGCAGAATACAGTTTATGCCATTAAAAAAATGTAGAGGGAGAAGAGCAGATCAGAAAAGTATTTTCTCTATATAAAAAGGTAGTCTTTTTTTGAAAAGGAAAATCACTTAAACTAAAACATGTGTATGTATATCCTGTTCATCTTGATGAATGTGTACTTTAATTCACACCCATTTTTAAAATGCCTACTTGGTAGTGTCACTTTGCTAGGACCAGATAAACGACACTTTGTTCTCACAGATCTCATGTGGTAAGAAATGAATAGGGCATGGCAGTAGCTAGGATACAACTGAAGTGGCCTTTTCCAAGCTTGTGTTCCTAAGGATCTCAAGCTCACTGAATTGTACTTCAGATTAATCAAATTAATCTAGAAGTAACTTCGAGAAACATCTTCTTAGATATATGAGGCTCACATGAGCCTATCAAGGGACGTATGAGATCCCAAAACAAACAAAAAAACCCCATGGAACTTTGTACAACTTGGTATTTCCCCAAAATGTGTGTCCAAGGACTTCTCTCTTCTGCTATTCTTTATCACAAGCTCATAAGCTCAGGCCTCCTGTGGGCTGAAGGGCCCACTTTGAGCAATGTCTGCTTAAAGTGTGCATTACACAGAAAACTTCTTAAAACACTGGACTGGTTTTTGAAGGATTTCTGTCTTCAAAAATATAATTAAATTGCACCTTTAACCTGTAACCTTCTTTTGTTCTGCTAAATGAAACTGAAGCACTTCAGCCACAGCTTTCTTACACTGAATACTCTTTTCTTCTCAAAAGACTGGATTTCCAGCAAAAAGATAAACTCTGTTATATATAGGAAATATGAACTATCAAGTTCCTGATAGGGCTTGACCTTCTTTCCTTGTTTTGTTGTAGATGGCATGTAACAGCAGAACATAGGCCTTTAGTCCTTGTTTCATATTTAAAATTAAAGAGGAAATAGGACATTTCACTTCTCAGGTCCCTTCTTAGTAGCTGTCCCCAGCTCAAAAAAGTCAGTTATTTGTTTATACGAAAAGTTCAAGAAATCTTGCTGAGGGCCTGCTCTGTTCCAGACACTCTTGTAATAATATCAGGTGCACAGTGCCAGACTGACAAGCTTGTACACTTACAACCTAGTGGGGGAAGACAACCAGGGAACATACACAAATTAACAACACAATCTCAAACAGTACTAAGTGCTATGATTAAGTAAAAACAGTAAACCAAGGATTTTTTTTTCCTCCCAGGTGAGGTGAGCACTATAAATTGGGAGGGCTTCTCCATGGAGGTGACTTTTGAGCTGAGAACCAAATAGTGAGGAGCCAGCTGATATTTCTGGATACAGATAAATGGGCACAAATTGATTTATTTTTTGAGAATAAACAGATTTTCAATTTTTAAGATGGTACATTTCATCTCATGATAGGACTCTTGGATTTGGGTGTGCTTTGGCTGGCGAAGTTGAATTTTACATCTCAAGTATTTTCCCTAAAATGGGGTTCATTTTAATTTCTCAGAGAGGATAGCTGTTCGCCAAGTGGGCAGCCGAATCTCTTCTGTTTCTGTCCTGTGAGTGCTTTTGAAGCCCTTCTGGAGAACAGAGGTTTTAAGTGGTATACATTTGGGCCTTGATAAAAACCAGAGCAATTTGAATCAAGTTACTAATTTATACTGGTGCTGTTAAGAGCTTTGGAATCATACAAGTGTTGGGAGCTCAGTTCAGATTCAAAACTCATCTCCTCAATGGTGTTGGAAGAGTCAAATGATTTGGCTCTCATTGCTCTAAGTTCCTCCACAGCCCCCCTTGGCACTTTAAGACTATTAACTAATATTTATGTAAATGGATTCTTTTCAGATGAAATGCTAGTGTTGGTCTATCTTTAGAAATACAAGTTCAACAGTCATTGAATTTAAGAATTTAACAAGTAATATGGATGACAGAGTTCTTATATACATTTGGGGAATAAACAAACCTCCTAGCTCATTTTTAAAATTCACTATTCCCTGCTTGCTTTTTTCCCCCCACAAAGACAAGTAGGAGGGTGACTTTATTCACCAACTGCTCAAAAGCACAAGCAGAGAATAGGGATTTGGATTAGCAAACTTGTACCCTGTGGAACTCTTTGTTCTTCATTCAGTATCCCTATACACTTTGGCTGGAAGAAAAACCCTAAAAACATGCCCAGCAGTTCTCATTACCCCTCCTCCCATCCCACTGCACCTCACCCTACCAGAAGCAGAAATCTTATGAAGAGGTTTTGAAGAAAACATCCTGTCCTGGCTTTTTCAGTTCCAGTGAGCTTTCAAAAGATATCCTTGACTTGGGACACAGGAAGCGTTCAAACCAAGTCTATGTTGTCAAAAGCAGGTCTTCTTTTTCTGGAAGGATCCTGACTATGTGTTCTCTGCTTAAAGATTGTAGAGGCACCTGGTGTTTTCACGCAAAGTGCTCAAAGTGTGAAAGAGTGGCTGATTTGTGACTCTGGCAATCTCTCGAATTGTGTGCAGGGCCATGCCCGGGTGGGCATACCGGCAAAGGCTTCTGGGAACCTCTCGAGGGAGGAAGTACGGAGCATCTGTCTCCACGACGATTCTCTCCAGTGGGATCTTCTTCAGAGCATCCCGGGCCTCCCAGGCAGAAGAGTAGGTCAGGACAGCTGTAAAGCCCACAGTCATGTTGGGAAAGTACTTCAGCAGGGGCTCAATGACTGGGTAACTGCCAGTGAAACAATGCCGATGGATCTTGTAGTCAAAAGGCACATATTTTTTCATGATGCCCAGCAGATCTTCATCAGCTTCTCGGCAATGGATCACCAAGGGCATCTTTAGAGCGACAGCCAGTTGCAGCTGTCTCTCAAATACCCTGTGCTGCCGTGGGATAGGCGTGCTGCACTTATGAGAGTAATCCAAGCCCATTTCTCCAAATGCCACAGCCTTGGGGTGACGTAAAGCTTGCAAGATATTTCTTTCTTGCCTCTCATTGTAGTAACTTGCAAAATGGGGGTGACAACCAAAGGCCCCCCAAACCAGATCCTCTCTCAACAGCTCCTCCCATAGGCCATCACGTAGTGTGCGCGGATCGCAGAAATCAGTGATGCAGCCGTGAAATTCCCTAGGGAAGGTAGTGCCGTAAATTTTTCTGAACATAGTAAAGGTCCCCTGGAAAGACAACTTGGCAAAGAGCATGTCCAAGTGACAATGGGTGTCAATGAAACCATCCTGGAGAACTCCCGCTGAGTGGCCCCTTGGCAGGGAGCTAAAAGATCCACCTCTTCCCCAGCCGCATAAAGGAGTGTCCTCCACCTCTGCTTGCGAACTTCTGGAAAAACACGATACATTCTGGGCTGGACCTTCCTCTGGGAAGGATCTTCGGTCTCTGAACCGGTTTGGAGAGTACTGTGGAGAGTTGGCGAAATAATCACTCTTCCCAGCCTGGGACCTGTTACTGCCGCCTGGGCCCATGGGGGGCCGGTGAGAAGGCTCGGGGTTGAGGGTGCCGCCGTCAGCGTAGTCCCCAGAAGGCCAGCTGTACACCTGAGGCTGGTACACGGCATGGTCAGTGGTGAAGGAGGAAAGCTCTGAAACTCTTGCGAGATTCTGTGAGCCTGGCTCCTCCTGGGGCACTCCGAAGGTGAAAATCTCATCCTGGGCGAGCCAGTCAGTTCCTGAAGAGGGCCACTCAGTCGCGCTTCTTTCTCTTGGCGTTTGGCTTTCTGAACTAGAGTGAGGCCTGTCTGGACACTTTTCGCATGGAGAGTGTTTTTCAAAAACGACTGCCCTTCGGTCATTAAATGGCCTCTGACTGGGTTTCTCCTGAAACTTTGTATTCACTCTCCTGTCATCGAGGCTGCTGGTCTTCCTCATTCTCTGGTGCTTCTCACCACTGACCCCTGGGGCTGACTCTACCTTTCTCTGAGGAGGAGAGGTGCGGACCGCCCTGGCTGGTCTTTCCCCAGGGGTGGGATTCTCTCTCGTGCTGGGTTTTGTACAAGCAGCAGCCCCCCTTCCTCTTCCCAGTCCCCTTGATCTTGATGTCGGTTTTCTGAGGGTGCCCTGGGGGGCCTTCCTGTGGGTCACTGAAGAACCGCCTTCTGGCTGGCTGTCCCTCTGCCTCTGGACCATTTTCGGTTCCTCAGTCTCACTTTCGGCCGCAAATGCAGCATTCATGGAGTTACGGGAACTTTGTCTGGAGTCAGCCTTACAATTGCTGGCATCCTTCGGGGAAGCCATTTTTTCCAGAAAGGAACTTGCACAGGTGGAGAGGAAGGCCCAAAGGGGATCCCACGGACCAAAGAAGCACCCAAGCGCTCCGAATCAGGGAGTCTTTGGAGGCTGGTCCACCCACACTGGGCCTGAGGGGTGCTGGTGGGGGGCTGCTCTGGCGGAATGAGTCTCGGGCAAAACCTCCACACGCTGGCCACGAGGTGCTCCTCGGGGGGCTTTCTGCGCTTGATGTAGAGTTAAGAGCTGGCCGGCCGGAGGAGGGAGAGAGGAAAGGTGGGCTTCCAGGGGTATCTGCTTTCGTTCACCAGGGGAGCCTACCTCGGTGCTGCGGCGGGCCTGGGCCGCCCGGGCGCCTTCCGGCCCCTTCCCCTTACTTTCACTTCTGTGCCACCGTCCTCAGTGTCCACGCTTGTCAGAGTCCTTTCCCTGCGTCTGTGAGGCCAGAGCACCTTGGCTAAGTGGCAAAAATCCCAGATTTACCGAAGGCTCAGGTTGGCTTGCGCGCTGACCATGCGCTTCCGGCCGAGCTGAGCACTTTCTCTTTCACTACAGCCCCCTTTATGGGGCGCAAGTGCTTCCGGAGAGGGGATATCAGAGTGCTTCCGGGACTCCAGAGCGCGTCCATGTTGTTGGGAAAATGAAGCCGTTCCAAGATGTCGTAGTCTTTGAAAAGACCACAAGGTACTTTGGGAATCCTGCACAGAGCCCCCTCAGGTGGAGGGTGTGGGGGAACCAGACCCTGGGTCCAAGTTCACACGCGCTGGGAGCACTTGCCCCACCCACCAACTCTGTCTCCCAGAAGCACCCTCACGGCGCTGCCCCCTCTCCCGTGCCTGGGATCTCCTCCTCCCCCTCCCCCCCCCATCCGATCTCTCTCTCTCCCCCCCCATTGGATCTCCTCCTCCTCCCCACCACCCCTGAACGGGCGCCACCTCCAGGTGCCCTCCATGCTTGCTCTGTTCCCTTTTGCGCCCCAGTTTTTTCAAAAAGAGCTATGGTTTTGAAAGCATAGTTTAAATGTACATGCTTTTAAAGCACCTATAATTGTAGTATATTACCATTTTCACTCCTGAGTTTTTCGCTCTGCATTTGTGCATGTATCTTAAGCACTTATTGCCACATGGTTTTCAGAAACACTGTACTGTTGCGGTGCTAATACTGCACAGCGCATGCAGGGGGCCGTAAGTCGCCAAGTCCTCCCGCTTTGGCTATCTCTGTAGGTCTCACCACTCTAGTTCTTCTCTGTAATTGAAAACAATGCCACAAAGAGCGTCTTTGCACGTCAGCTCCTCCATATTTTACTTTTTTCTTTGAGCTACATTTCCAGAAATGGAAATATAAGAATTGTAAAGTGGCTTCTCATACCACCTTGCCCCAGAACAACGGTAGTAATTTAAACTCACATTCAGAATGAATAATCATATCAGGCCCATTTTATAGCAGAAATCACAGAACCAGTGCCTCACCCCTACTTTAATTTACACTTATCTAATAACTTCTTAAAGTGAACATTTTATTTGTCGACCCTTGTGAATTATTTTCTATTGTTTTTAAATTTGTGTTTTATTTTTGTAGTTTTAATTTTAAGACTAGACTAGTCATACTCCTTTTAGAGCTTCGTGTGTGTGTGTGTGTATGTGTATGTATTCTGTTTGTGAGGGCAAAGGAGGTTGACTTGTTCTATTTAAGCTGGTAATCCATATGGTACATACTTTTGAGTTATGATTTATTTTAGGTGAGAATATTTTATAGAGTTACTTTCCTAAATTACTATTTTTTTTTCTTTTAATGTGTCTTTTATCATGCGTTAAATTAATAGTCTATTTCTGGACCATCTATTCCTTACACATAGTTGTATGTTTCTTGTTATTCTGGTGTTCTATTATTTTAATAATTGAAGCATTATAGTAAGGTATAAAATCTGGGAGTTAGGTCTTCTAGGGGAACCAAATCTTTTCTTGCTTTACCCTGCCCCCTCAGCTCCGCCCTTCATTAGGCAGGGCAGGAAACACGAAACCTCCTCTTTTATTGAGATTCCTCTGTTACGTTTTTTAGCTAATACTTTCACGTTCATACCTTTTTACGTTGTCCAGAACTCCTGAAAACAGCATAAGATAATGATGTCTGTAAGGCCATATTTGTTCTGTTCCTAATTTGGTAGGCATGTAGTTTATTTACATAAAATGTTGGATACTTAGGCTGTTGTCTTAAAGCAAATGTTTTTTTTTTAATCTCGTTAAGGAATTACTCATATTTTGAAATGGATATGTGAGAAAACCATGTAAGATCATTGTATATTTGTTCTTATTCCCTTATTTGGAAACATCTTTGTATCTTTGAGGAAAATGCTTTTTGTGGAGGTTGCCTATAATTTTTATGGACTATTGTTTACTTGAATTTTACTTAGGATCTTTTGCTCTATGAACCATAACTAGTGAAATTGCTTGGAGCAATAGTTCTTAACCTTGGTTTATACATTATAATCTCCTGGGGACCTTTAGAAATCATGATACCTGGATCCACTGAGAGATTCTGATTTCATTGTGTTTGTGTGGGTGTGGGTGTGGATGTGGGCCAAGCATTAGGATTTTAAAAAGCTTCGGTGATTCTAACATGCATCGAGGATGAGAATTTTTGTTATATAGGGGAGGAAAAATAATTTTCCCTCTACACTTCTGGGTTTTTGGCTGAGACACCCCACACAATAAAAGGCAGATTAATAGGAACACGAAAGTTTACTGACACACCTCCTGTATACATGGGAGAGATGAACAAAAACTGAGTAATTTCTCAGAACAGCTCGGGCCACCTGCTTAAAAAACATCTTCAGCTAAAGACAGAGGATGTTAGGGGGAAGGGGATCTTAGTAATGGGAGCTTACTAGGAAAGATACAGTAAACTAGGATATAGTTATTATGCAGATTTGATGCCACCTCCTTGGATAACAGATAAAGAGGTAAGGTCACTCCCCTCCTGTATTGTGCAGGAAAGCCCTTACAAATAAAGATTTCCTTAGCAGTGTGAATATCTTACAAGTGGGTGACTTCTACTCAGTGTACAGAGCTTTTCCTTTGTTGTTGTTTCTTAAAAATAGAGATCTTAAAGTAATCTTCATGTCAAAGAGATATATTTTTTAGTGACAAACTCTGTACCCCTTCAGCTCCATTGTGTACTTCTTGTGGCTTGTATATCAAGAATTGAAATTCACCTTCATGGCTTTTTTGGTATCCTGGAGGATTTATATCATGTGGTAATTTTCCTTTCCTGGAAGTATGAAAAAAGTCAATTAGTAAATCACCTTGGTGGGATCCTTTGTTTGGGCATTCCCTTAGTAATTTTTCTACGTTTTGTTTTGTTATTAGTTCATTTGTTGTGTTTTGATAACCACAAGTCTTTTTAAAGTCACTTATTTGATCGTAATTTAAAATTATTTTAATATAAATTTACATAATTTATTTAGAAGATGACATAGATCTTAGAATTAATTACATCTCTACATCATGTATTATATCATTTCTGGTTTTATCTTTTCTTTCTTGATTATCTTTGCTAGAATCTTGTATGTTTTATTTATTAAAAGGGTTCTTGGATTTTTTATTGCACTTTATCATTTCAAAGATGTCTATTTCTCCTTTATCCTTTTTGCTTTCTGCTTGTTTTCCTTATAACAGAGTTTTGCACTTTAAAAAATTTTTTGTTTAAGCCATTGATCACCTGTTTAGAACTGTAACTATTTCAGGATTACCTGGGGAGCTTTAAACAAAATATGAATGCTGCTTTTCCTGTACTGAGGATTCTGATTTAATTTATTTAGGCTTGGAGTTTGTCCCCCCCATCCCTTTTTTTTTTTTTTTTTTGGAAGTTCCTAATGTGAAGGCAAGACTGAGAATTGCTGAGTTAGCACACACAACTGAGTTGTCTCTCTTTGACTCTAAATTCTCTTATGTAATAATCTGAGTCCAGTAATTCACCCAAAATTACAGACTTACCTATATTGTATAGGTTTGTATACCTTTAAATTTATTAAATACTATACTTATTTTTTATGTATTATATTTTTGAGATATAAATGACATACAAGGTTCAGGTGTACACCATGATTCCATATTTGTATATGTTGTGAAATGATCACCACAGTAACTCTAGTTAACACCCATCATTATAGTTACAATTTTTTTTTCTGTGGTAAGAATTTTGAAGTTTTACTCTCAGCAATTTTCAAATATGCAATATAGAATTATTAACTGTGGTCAGCATGCTATCCATTATATCCCCATGACTTCTTTATTTTATAACTGGAAGTTTGCACCTTTTGACCCTTTTCACCCATTTTGCCCACATCCCATATTTTTGTTATTTATAAATTTATTTTCAACATAATTATTAGGAGTGACATTTTTGCTAATAGTTACACAGTGTGCTTCTAGTTGTATTACTTTGTGATCATTGGCTATAACTTGTATAATTTGTTTTTTAAATTTATTAGAAATTTTTATAAATTAGCATATGATGCATCCCTATAAATATAGCATAGCATAGTTGTTTATAAAGCATCTGTTCTCAATATTCACTACAAATTTATTATGCTTTATTTCCTTGATTCTAAGACCCCATAGTCATAAGAGAAACTATTGCTTTCATGGTTTTCCAGGAAGAATAAAGAATACTGCATAAATGTACACAAAATTTTCTTGTCTACCAATTTATAATAGCATGCATTTATCCTTACTATTATATACCTTCCTCCTCTTTAGTACCTCACAATTTTTTAAATAGACCTTAATAGCTTTATGCAACATTTCATGAATTGGGCAGCATTCAATCTAACAGGCTGAAAGTTGCTCAGAGGAGTAATTAAAAACAACAGGCTTTTCTAGGCAGAGGGAACAGGAACAGGAAGTTATACTGTTGGCAAATTGGTTATGGCAAGGTCACTTTCCTTTAGGGGATAGCAAGGCCCTGTCAGGCAGATTACCTAACTAGTGCTGATTAGAAGATTCCTGATGGACTGATTTAAAATTCACTTTCTAGAAGAGATCAAAACTGTAATTATCTTAGTTTGGTTATATGTGGCTTAGCATAAGTGACTCTATTTTAGGCCTATTGTTTTGTTATTTTCAGACTCTGAGATATGTGATCAAAATTTAAGGCATTAGCAGTATTTCCAAGTACCACTATGAAATTCTTGAAGTTTTTACTGATTCATTGGTCATGATGTTAGGTTCATATCCTTTCAGTCAGTCATTCTTTCTGTTCTTTTTCTTATGTTCTAGTCTTGGGCGATGATGGTTAGAGGCAGTGAACATGCATTAAAGCTTTTGAGAGAGTACAGTGCACCAAGGGGATTATTTTATCAATTATAAACAGGATAATTCCCAATGTCTGCAGTGTACTTAAGTGCTACGTCCCAAGATCCAAAACAATCAAAATCAAATACATCAAATCCAACCGAAGATATCTCTTTTTAAAAAAAACACAAAAAACTTTTTAAAAAATCTTTGTATAGATTTAAACAATAGGTATATCATTGGATTTATTTACTTAATTTTATTTATTTATTTTAAGGAATCAGTTCCCCAGAACTCTCAATCCAAGTGCAGCAAGTG